CCAGTAAATGTGCTCATTAAAAACATCCTGGAAGTGCTGGAGGCTGTGTGTGTGTGAGCCATAGTTCTGCCACATTTTAAAGGTGGCGTCACCATATTCATTCTACATACTAACATGAGGGTTATACGGAATGCAGTATGTTCTATAACAACAGATTGCTACAACTGCTCTAACAGTGGAGTGAGAGAAAGAATTTTAGGATATTTTTCCTTAACATTTAAAATATTTGGGTTTTTCCATCCCCAAAAAGATGCGTAATGTATCAGTATTTCATTATAGATCTTTAAGTTGATAAATGAAACATCCAATAATGTTTGAATGTCTGCACGTTTATACTTAGAGCAAACGACTTACCATATTCTGAGCTAACATAGAGTCAGGGAGTCACTGGAACAATTTTCCCTTGCAGATGTGCAGTCATCAAAAAAAGAATGTGTATCCAGATTTGATTTTAAAAAAAGATCCGAGTATTAAAGGCTTTTTAACTAGTGGGACTACAGTGTGAGGAAAATGTGGTGGAGTAGTTCACTTAAAGTGGTCATAGTTTACTTAGGTTTGGTCTCACAATTCTAATGCAGTTAAAATCAGAGGAACACGGAAGGGAAAGAGGTGCTGAAGAGCAGTGGAAAGTGGAGATTGAGTGATTTACCTCTGATGTTACTATTGCCTGTATGACAATGAGCTGTTTTTAGGGCAGCAACAAAGGGAGGAGCAAAGAAGATGAAGGAGGAGGACAAGCAGACACTATATATTACCACCAATGTCAGAATCTTTCCACTCAACAATGAGTTTTTCACTGGAGAGCAACATGGATAAAACTGAGGGGTGAAGACACAAGAAGAGCAAGGGGAGAAAATAGGAAAAAAGATGATGAGATTAAAAGAGGAGAGGGGCTGGAGAATACCAAAACCAATTGTGAATGTACTAAGGCAGATTGCCAGCTGGTATAAGCTGTATTAATAAGTTCCCCCCTATTCACAGTTAAGACAGGACAGAATCACTAAATTCACTCATCCTGCTCACAATTTACACTTCAATTTATAGAGGCAATTTCAGAACAACTCATATTTGCTAAATAAGAAAAAAAAGACATCTTGCTAGTTCAGAATCAGAATAATAAGGGGAGTCATTTCAGGAAGATTTGGGGGGCAATGAGATGAGAAAAAAAACCCATTGATTTACATATTCCAAATCTACAACCATTGTACTGAGCCTTTTTTTCAAGCCACAAGAAAATGTGTCACCCTATGAAGAGAGAAGCATTATGGGAGAAATATAAATTTGGATAAGACAGACTCAGTGGAAAGTAGGACTTGTGGCACCTTAGAGACTAACAAATTTATTAGAGCATAAGCTTTCGTGGACTACAGCCCACTTCTTCGGATGCATATAGAATGTTCCATTCTATATGCATCCGAAGAAGTGGG